AGCAAAAAAAAGGAAACAATATAAAATAAAAGAAAGGAAAGGAAAAGAGGAAAATATAAAGGGATTAGGGGGGCCTATTCAACAAAAACAAAAGGAGGGCACATCAAGGAGTAGGAAAAAACAAGGGGGAGGAAAGGAAGGATACGTACGATTTAAAAGACGGAAAAAAAAGGGAAAGGGGGGGGATGAGCAAAAAAGAGAGCTTGTAAGGAAAATGAGAGAGATCGGGGGAGTTCAAAGCTGACTTCGAAGAAAAGTGAAGGGTTAGATTGGGCAAAGGTGCATTGATGGAAAGGATTCGAAGGGTAAAAAGGAAGTGAACTGAGAAAAGGGGTAAGGGAAGGGAAGACTGTAAGGGGAAAGGGGGGGGGAAGTAAACATTAAAGTCAAGGAAAAGGAAGAAAGGATGGAAGGGAAAGAGGAGAAAAAGGGAGGGGGAAGGGGGGGGTTGGGGGGAGGGGGGGGGGGGGGGGGGGGGGGAAGGGGGGGGGGGGGGGGGGAAAAGGGGGGGGAAGAGGAGGGGGGGCCAGGAAGGGAGAGGAGGAAGGGAAGGAAAGGCGTGTGCCCTTTGGGGAGGAAAAGGGGAGAAGGGGAGATTGGAGAAAGTGGGGGAACGAAACAAAAGGGGGGGAAATGGGGAACAAAAAAGCGGGGGGGGAGGGGGGAAAGGAAATGAGCAAGCAGGGGGGTGGGAGGAAGTGGCTCCCAGACGAAAAGGTGCGCCAAGAGATATTGAGGCGCTGGGGATAGGGTGGTGAAGGTGGCAATAGAGGTTGTGGATCCCCCGGGAGGAGGGTGGTCAGCAAGGGGGGCGGCTGGAGGGTGTGGGGGCGGGGGGGGCGGGCAAAAGGACGGGGTTTTGCCGCGGGAGAAAGGGAAAGGAAGATGGGGGGGTGACGGGGGGGGAAAAGAAGGTGGGGGAACGGGGGAGGAGAGCGCCGGACAGATTGGGAGAGCGAGGGGACAGGGGCAGAATTCTTTAAGGAGTAGACGACAGGTGGGGGGGGGGAAATGGAGGGAAAATGGGAAAGGGGGGGAAATGGGGAGAGGGAGGGAGGGAAAGACAGGGGGGCAGTGAAAAAGGGGGAGGGGAAAAGGGAGGTTGAGGACAAAGGTGTAAGAGGATAGGGGGGGGACAGACTATGAGAATAAAAGTCAGCGGGGGGGAACCATAAAAAAAAAGAAGGATAAGGGGGGGAAAAGGGGAGCAGTAAAATTTAAAAGGAGAGGAATAAGGACTTGAAAAGGAGTTAAAACAAAAGTTATAAAAAAAGGGATTGCTAAAATGGAAAAATTGCGATGGGGAAGGGGGAAAAACAACGGGGGAATAAAATGGGACGGAGGAAAGGGAAAAGAGAAAAGGGGTTTGGGATGGGCGGGGAGGGGGGGAAGGAATGCGGGAAGGGCGGGTGGGCTCCAGATCGCTCCACACACGGGGGGGGAAGGGGGGAAGTGAAAAGGTTGAGGACAGGATTAATCTTAAATAAACCAAACAAAACAAACCACAAAAGGAAAGGGAAGGAATGGGAGTGGAGGAGGAAGGAAAGGAAAAAGGAAGGCATGCCGGAAAAAAAAGGGGAAGGGAAGGGAAAAGGTAAAAGGGGGGGGAGGAGGGAAAGGGGCTAAAGAAATGGGAGTGGTAGTGGCATGAAAAGAGAGAGGGAGCCCGTGCTGAGCTTGGGAGGGTTTGGAAAAATAAAACAAATACAGGGTGGAGGGAACAAGGAAAAAATCCAGCGACCGGGGGGCCAGATCAGATGGGGGGCCAGTGCAGTGCCTACATCTGGGGAGGGCGGCAATATATGAAAAAAAAGGGCAAGATACAGCAAAAACTAAGGGAAAAGGAGTGGAGTCGGGGGGGGCGGGGGGAAGGGGAGGAAGGGAAGGGGGGGGAGGTAAGGAGTGAAAAAAAAGGAAAAAGGAGGATAGGGGAAGGAGGAAAAAAAACAAAAAAAAGAGGGGGGGGGAGGGACAAAAGGAAAAAGAGAAAGGAGGAGGGATGAATAAAAGGGGAAGGGAGGGAGGGAAAAAAAAAAATGGAGAAAAAGGAAGGGGGGAAAAAAGAATAAAAAGGAGCGGGAGGGAAGATTGAAAAAAAAGCGGGCGGGGGGGGGAGGGGGGGGGGCGGGGGGGAGGGGGGGTAGGGAGGGGAAGGGGGTGCTGGGATAAGGTGGGCAGCGACAGGGGGGAAGTAAAGAAAGGGGCCAGAAGGAAACCGGGGGGGGGTGGGGCCAGGGGGAACAACTCAGAAGCAGAAAGGGGAAGGAAAGAAGGAGAAGGGAGCGGGGAAAGGGGGGGAGGGGGGGGAACGATGAGGGGAAGGAAAAGAAGGAGGGAGGGAAAAGGCGGGAGAAGGTGGGGGGGGGGGCGGGGGGAGAGGAGGGTGGGGGGGGGGGGGCACGGGCGCGGAAGGCAAGAGGTGAAAGAAAGGGGGAAGCAGAGAAAAAGAGAAAAGGAAAGAGGCCGCGAACAAAGGAAAGAAAAGGGAGGGGGGGGAAAAAGGGGGAAAAGGCACCGGGGGAAAGCAAGGAGGGGAAAAGATAGAAGCAAGACCCAGGGGGGGGGGAAGGGAAAAAAGGAAAAAGCAGACAGGACGGCGGAGGTGGGACCGGACAGAGCCAGAGCGGGGCGCGACGCGGGGGGCCAGTAGAAAGGGCAACATAAAGGACTTGGAGGGCATTAGTGCCAAGAACACGAAGGCAGGGCTGGTGGCAGGGGGGCAAGGAGCTTGGTGGGGAGGCAGAAAGGCAGAGGAGGGGCTAAAAGGGGTAGGGGGGAGAGCGAAGGTGAAGGCAGGGGCAAGTCGAGGGGAAGGAACGACCGAAGTGGGGAAAAAGGAAAGAGTGGCAAGTGCGGGGGAGGTCAGAAGGAACGGGGAGGAGGAAGGAGACGGCACTCGACGGCAGGCAGGTGAGGAGAAAGGAAGAAGGTGAACAGGCAAGTGGGAGGGGAGAGGAGACGACTTCATAATACCGTTTTATTGGTCATGATGATTGGTATAGAAAGATACCCACGTCGAGGAGGGGCATGCAGGGGCTTATGGAGGAGGCATAAGATAGGAAGGGGTAAGGTCTCGAAGGAGGGAGGAGGTATAGGTTGGGGTAATAACTGGGGGGTAAGGGGGATGGATGGTCAGGGATGGGGGAAGGGGGTGCAAACAAACGATAGGGGGAGTTGGGCGTCCGGGGGGGGGCGCACAAGGGAAGTAATACGCAAGGCAAAAAGGAAAGGCGACCGACAAAGGGCGGAGCAATGCATCAGAAGGGGGGGCATGTAAAAGGGGAAAAGGGGGGAGGAAACCGCGAAAAAAATCAAAAGTGCGGAGGGGAACGAGGACTCTTCCATGGATAGAATGCGTGTTTAACTGATGGCAAGCATCTTTGTTTGGGAAGGTGGAGGAAGGGCAGAAATTCCAGTTTTCAATCTCATTGCAAGTAGAGCAATTGAAAAGTGTCGAGAAGAACAGCGTGAATAGCAATTTAGTGTGGAAAAACATAGAATGTGCTCCTTTTGGACTACGTTTTGCTGAGGAAACATTTTCTCTCCGATGGATTAAGCATGATTATTGGCAATAATAAAAGAAGGCGTATCTTTGTTGTTGTGAAGTAAGTTTCTAGATGGCAACAAATCACTAGTCTGCTGTTTCAAATGTAAAGAAACATGCCATGGCAAAATTCTTAGGCATCGCGACACTTAAACAATTTTAAATTGTTGAAATTCTAAAAATATTGCATATAGATTAACTAAAGGCATAAGAACCTGAACCGGAAGATAAGAACAATATAATTCAATCATTTCTTAAAGCAAAAAATGCACAATTTACAAACATATAAGAATAAAGAAACTGAGATTACTGAGCCGAGTAACAGAGTGGATATATATATACATATATTTATATACTTTTGGTTCGGCCGATTACAACAAAATACGAGGTGCACATCTACATGTTATAGTAATTCTATATACAAAATTTCAACGTTCTGAGGCTACTCGTTGAGTTATTAGAGATACGTACGTATGTACACACAGACGCCACGAAAAGTTCTCTTCAGAATTTTTTTTTTTTTTTGATGGAGCAACAATTAAGAGAGCTAGTAACTGGAGAGACTTGAGAGAGCATCAGTTCTCGGTTTTTAGTTCAAAGCTGACTTCGAAGTATTATCTCCGTGAGAGCTTCGGCTTTTAGATGCGCTTTGCATTGCTTGCATTGAGTGTTACTATTAGTCATTCGAAGCGGTAACTACTGATTGTGATGTTATACTGAGAAAAGCTGTTCGGGTAATTTTGTGGAACGTTCCAGGACTGTAAAGTGTTTCTTTTATGTAAATTTTATGAAGCAATCGTTGGTTGCGTGCATTTAATACATTACAATCCCGTCATCAGGCCAAAATTTTGGTGTCAGAAATGGGATGGAATGTCGGTTACAAGAGCGATTGATCAACAACTAAGACAGCTGGTTACAGTATTTGCTTTATTCGAAGAGAAGATGGAAGGGGCCCTAAATTCCTTTAAAGAAGAGATAGAAATGGGCCAAGAATCCGTTAAAGCATAGAAAGAAACCCTAAAATATGCAAATCTTCATTGATAAAAGCGCGGCAAGAAGCGATGAAATAGTGACAAAAAGATGGAAGGGACAGTCAAGTCAGTTCAAGAAAAGCCTGAAGAAGACCAAGAGGGAATGAAAAGGAAAATTATTGCCATAACAGAAAACAAATATTAAGCTACGGAAGGCATATCACTGTTGGATACAAAGTTGGAGAAACTCAAGAAACAGTTTCTGTTCTCGAATAACAAATTGGAGAAAGTATTTTTGCTGTCAAACAACAAATCGAAGAAATAGGGTCTTCTGTCGAACAAAAAAGCGACCATATTCCTTTTGGCACCATTGGCATGAGCAACAGTTTGGGGATTTTTTATTTGTCGTCCCTATAACGGAATTGCGCCAATAATTTCATATTAAGCTGGTGATATTTTTGTTAATGTGGCAGATATTTACTTACCTTCTATTATGTGCAATTTTTCTTCTTCTGTTGTTCGTTCTTCATTCAAAATTACTTCCTCTATAAAACATTAAAAATAGTTGTTACTGGAAAGAATTTTGAACGTTTTAAGAAGCAGCCTAAAAATGAGATCGATACACTATTAAACTTTAATTAGAAAGACAGTGTTAAATGTAGTTTACGATTTCTATATGCTTGAGAGAGAATAGGAATTTTGAGTCCCAAATACATGACCAATTTCATTTAAATACATTCTTAATAAAAAATATCTATTTTGATTAAAAAAATATTTAAGACAGATATTGAAAATTATAAAAATTCATTTCTAACCATAAATTAAAAGAAGAGATAATTCAAATTTTAGAGCAGCATTTAAAGCGTTGAATGATATCTGATCTTGAATTTTTACTGAGGAAGTTAAATTTCGATAAAGTATAAATTAAATTTTGATGAAGAATTGATAAAATTGAGAAAATTCGATGTTTACAATTTTTATTTCATTTTGTACAACTTTTGAACTTAAAACTAAGTACATGATGAATATTCTAATTCAGAAGACAAACAACATACTAAGTACATGTTGTTTGACTTCTGAATTAGTGCATGATGTGTGTTAGAAAATTAAATTGCTATAAAATATTTCTCAAATAACACCCTGAGTTTAAAATCCGGACTCAGATTTATTTTCTATAATTATATTATTATTATCTCATACCTGCTATCCAATTATCAGAAAATAATTTTGCGTCTGGCTAACGCAAAAGCATTCTCCTTTTTTTAAACTGCTAGTTACACTTAAAAATCAGTTTAACATTTTTAATATTCATTCAAACCCATTAAAAATTTACACACCTGCTTTGCATATCCACTCTACATATCCATTAAGCTCTCTTTCTAATTGTTGTTGTCTTCTGAGTTTAAGAAATTCTTGTCTATTTTCTACACGTTCTCGCTCTTTTGCGAATTCTCTGAAAAAGAAATTGATATCATTGAGAAAAATGGATGACTATTTTTCTTAAATATAGTACTCATGGAACAAAATTTTCGGCATCATAAGATAAATTAGCACTTGAGTTTTTTGGAACTTGGAGATACAATTGGTTTCAGCTGATTAAGTTTTCACCAGTATTCAGTTAACCCTTCAATGCATGGTGATGCATATATGAATCATACCCATTTTTGTTTAATTTAGCATTAAAAAAATTACAAAGCAGACGATTTACTGGGCTGATTTTTACCTTACTATAGCCATATCAATGTTTAGCTACTCTTTTTCCTAGTAGATGGCAACATAAAACTGTACTTTTTATTTCATTAGTGCCAAGAACACAGAATTCATTTCTGTTTTTTCAGTGGTCAAGTTAGCTTTGTGTTATTCATAAATTCAATATTAGGGGCTTAAAAATTTTAGTCTGTATAGCTGAAGGTATGCACTTTTCAATTCTATGTTAAGATTTAACTACCGAATTCTTTTAAAATGAAATATTTCAAGTTTTCTGTTTGATTCATATATGCATCACTATGTATTTATGATTAGACTTCACTCTAGAGTGCAGTGTGATGCATAAATGAATAAGGTTAAAATTCAGAGTGGATTTGTAATTATACGACTTCATAATACCTTTTATTTCATGATTATTTTTATATTAAATATACCCACTCGATATTTTCATGCATTGTTCTTATTTAGAGTCATAATATATTAATTTTATGTCTCTAATTATGTAGTATGTATATTGTTTGTTTGTAATGAAAATTCCTTTAATTTTTTTATTTATGGTCATTTACTGGGTTAATTGTTTTCAAACTATTTTTTATTTGGTCTCGGTGGATTTGCTCACAAGTTTGAAGTATACTCAAGTCAAGAAAGTCTACCTCACAATCGCTTAGCAAATGATGCAGAATTGGGCACCAGTGTAAAAGTTGTGAAGAACTTTGTAGGAAATTCCTCGAAATCAAAATTTCGTAGTTGGACAACTTTTTATACTTCAATTGATATAATGAAGTGTTTAACTGATCAGGGCATTCTTTGTTTGGGAACTGTGCGTAGGAACAGAATTCCAGGTTGCAAGCTCATTGCAATAGAGCAATTGAAAAGTGTCGAGAAGAACAAGCGTTGAATATGCAATTTAGTGTGGAAAAACAATAAGAATGTGCTCCTGTTATCTACGTTTGCTAGGAAACACTCCGTTGAATAGATATCTAGATTCGCTAGGAAGAAAGAAAGAGACAGTTACTGTGGACTGCCCAAATATTGTGAAACGATGCAACAAATACATGGGGGGCGTAGATTTGCTGGATAGCCACATAAGAAGATACAAAATAATTCTGAGATCAAGAAAGTGGTACATGAGTTTTTTTTTTCCACTTCTAAGACCTCGCGGTCATAAATGCGTGGCTGCTGTACAAAATAGTGTCTCTACAGAATGGAACAAACTCCAAGGATTTGCTAAACCTGGCCACCTTTCGGTTTGAGCTATCCATTGGACTGTGCAAATTGGATGAAAGTTCAGTTCCTAAGCGTGGAAAACCGAACGGTCTTTTACTAAATGTTTACAATGTGACGAAAGACAGAGGGGTACTGCATCAAAAATCCCTCCAATCTGCATCACACAGGATAAAATTCAACATGTTTTCACATGGAACGAAATCTCACTCGTTGTAAAATTCCAAACATTTATTGGATGTAAAAAATCCGTTGCAGCATTATGTCTAAATAAGGATAGAAATTGTTTCGAAATTTTCCATACAACGCAAATTGCACCATAAATAAATATACATGTACAAATTATTTTATTCGTCATTTTTATTTAAATTTTCACCACAGTTTTAATTTCTATAAAGTCTGAACATGATTAATTAGAATTAAGTATTAATAAAATTTTAATTAAAGTCAGTATCTTCTAAAAACAATAAATAATTAAGTATTTTATGCCAATATTTATTAAATACATTATTGTAAATGATTTTTCATGTCGTTTACATTTTAGTGCTAAATGCATGACGATGCATATATGCATCAAACCTACAAATTCAAAAAAATTACCAATAAAAAATTTTAAATAATTTTTTAAATATTTTTCCATATTTATTTAAGCCATGACCATGAAGAAAAAAAAAGTTTGATGAAAATATAAAAAATCATGCATTGAAGGGATAATTAGTTTTTAAGCGGGGAAGCATGCCGCCGATAAGGCGGAAAAAAATTAGCGAAGCATGTGCCACCAACTAGTAGCACAAAGAAGAGGTATTCTTTCCGATTCTGTTGTGTAGCAAAATTCATTTAATTATTTTACGTATTGCTTATCAAAATTTAATTTATTAACTATTCTAAATTTATGCTAAACAACGTGTATTTCAATTAATTATTTGTATTGTTTGGGTTAATTTTAGTTGAGATTTTCTGTACGAAAGATTGGTAACTTCTTTTCACTTCCTACTTGCAAACGCGCTGAAACACACAATGGAATTGAGTAAATTTCCACGTAATAAACTAGGATTTTTGTGACTTAATTTAAGTTGAACTCTTAATATTTAATATCATTATATGCAGAAAAATTAGCTCTTTAATTTGAGATTAAGACATAATCCTAGTTTTAACAGATTTTAAGTTATAGCCTTTTAATTAACGAAAAACTTGCAAAACATTTGTTTGATTACAATGGGGGATGAATTGGGAAAATTTAGCACTCAGTGATAAAAATATCGTGTTTTTTAAACTTGGGTAAAGCAGTTTCCTGTGGGGATGACAGTTTCAGCTTCATTTCAGAAGTTCCGGTACTCTTAAATTCTGCTTCGTTGTATCCCGAAGTTCCTGTATTCCGTAATGCTGTTCCTGTTGTATCCCGTGTTCCTGAATTAAATGACGAGAAGATCCTTAATTTTGACTGCTGTTGTTGGCACCTAGTGATTTACCAACTTATACTGTTCCTGCTTCATAGACAATAGAAATGGACTTTTCATAGACTTTGGACGGATATTCTCACCTTAACTAGAATTCCTGTGTTCGTGCGCAATGACTGACGAGGGAGCTTCTGAGGCTGGACGGATAGTGGTAGCTAAGTTCATTTTCCTTTAAATTCATTTTCAACTTAATTTGATTAGCTAAGTAATTGGTTGAGGGAATAATAGTTATCCATGTTTTAAAATTTTTTTAAGTACTAGCGGAATAGTAACTTAGAACGTATTGGAAAATAAAAACAAAGGGGGGTTCTTAAATAGATTGTTACGGTTAATGATTTATGTTAAAGTTAATTTAATTTTGTTAAGGTTAATTGTTTAGTGTATCAGATGGCTTGAGAAATCCATTCCTTAATTCCGTTGGCAAGAATTTGTTAATCAAATTTTAAATTTGTTTACTGTTTTGTAATTTAAAATTTGTTAAAGTTGTTCTGTCTTTTGTTTAATTAATTTTGTGCAGTAGAATATTTTGTGTTTTCATCTTTTTTGGGCACCCATCAGCGGCCGAGCGATAAAATCGTTGAACACTGGTAGTTCGGTCCGAGGTTCGAATACCGCGAACGGGCTGGTTGCATAGGCGCTTTCGTGGTTTTTCCCATGTGTAACGTGTATACGAGCCAGTTTCCCTTAGAAAGTCCTCCACGAAGGCATCCCTCCCCTTAGGCAGATAGCCCTAGTGTGCTTTGCCGTATTCTCAATACACGCATCTTTTTTGGTTATTATAAAATTAATAGTGTAGGAAAAATTTTATTCGGTGCAATATTAATTTCAATTTTCCTCCTTTCCGGTTATTGTAAATTGATAGTATTTAGAAAACCATCGTTAGAATGATTTGGTACTTGACAATGTCTGAATTCTAAAATTCTGCACCCGTTACTTTCCTAGCTGTATTGTGTTAATCTGAAAATGTTCAACAGATTAAGTATTTTGTTTCAAAATATGAAAGTGTTCATTAATATACAATGTTAATAATTATTGTTAAAAAAAGGAAAATGTTTATACTGTTGGTTAAAGATAATTGATAAATTGGTTTTATCTCCCCGGAGGGAAGGTTTATTTTTTTTTTAAAGTAATAGTCATATATTGTTTTAAGATCTAAAACTAATTTGATGCTATATTATTTGGTTTAATAAATTTATGTTATTCTTTGGATTAATTAATTGTATGTTTTATTTTATCTTTTCTCCATACATTCACCAGTCTACAGATTAGGATATTTACGGAAAACACAACGCAGTGTACCAATAAATGTGAGTTATATTTAGGTTAGGAAAATTTAAATTTTTGCGTTTCTATGTCTTTACTAAAAAGGCACAGAAAAATTCCATTTCGTGTTGTTAGCACTTATTATTCTTTAGCAAAATTTATGACTATTTTTTTTGCTCTCAAAAATAAATTCAGAATATCCGCCAGTGACTTGACTTTTCGTAGTCCTTACAGTAGGAAGATGGTTGATTTCCCTCATGATAATCGTCAAGTTCATGATTGGTTGCATGTTTTCATCCGCTTATGTTACTTGTGATGTAACGCTCCTGAGAAAATAACTAAATTTCCTTCAAGTCTGTCTGGATGGAATTTTATCTTCAAAATTCTTGATCAGCACGGAACAATTTTTGTCTTTCAAACCTGTTTCAGTCTGTTTTTCCCGTTTTCGAGGTTTTGGTAATTTCTTGATTGAATAAGTGAAACTGAATAAGCGAAAACAGTTTGTGTTTAAACACGCACACCTGATTCATATTCTACATACAATAAACAAGCATTGCCACAAAAGAATAAAGAAACAAAAGTTTTAAGTATATTTAATTTTAAATAAATGATACAGCAAACGCCATGAATAAATTTTACAGTTTTTAATAATACACTTGATTTAAAAATCAGTGATTTAGAAAGCTCAGATTTATAATTTTTATTTAGATTTTTGTCTGTTTCAAAACATTTCTTTTAAATTTTAGTAAGCAAATAAATTCAAAACAAAATCTAGGGCAATATGTTTGACTTTGTACGTTTT